ACTTGGGAGTGAGGGAAAGCTCCCCACTAACCAGGGGTGTGCAGCCTGTGGGATGGAGGGGACTGATCTGCTGACAGCTTCCCTAGCAGGATGGATCTCACTGGGTAATTACTGGCAGTGCTCTACCAGTGCCCAGAGCTGCTCCATCCTGCACAAGTTGTCCCTCACTGCAGAGCCTCAGCCCACTGGAGGGTGGATGGCCCTGCACAGATCTGGGTAGAACAGGTTCTTTACACAGACTGAGATCAAACAGCCTGTGCAGAGACTTGTAAAACTTGTAAAGCCAAGCAGAGCACTGCCATGTTGAGAGCTCTTCTGCCTGCAGGGGAGGGGCAGCCCTCTACCCACCCCTGCCTTGTCCAGAGCCTCTGGGCAGCATCTCTGTGCTGCCAGGGCCGAGTCCTTGAGCCTCATGTCTTGCTTGTGGTCACTTTGGCAGGTCAGCTCAGGTTAAGGTTCTGTCTGACAGTGTTGGAAGCCAGCTGGCCACAGTCTGACCTGCACCCACCCAAACTGGTGATACCAGAGTGGAGGAGGCTGCCCTGTCTCTGTGCAGCTACCACGAAGCAGGATATTTAGGCAGACTGTCACTGCCAGCGCCAGGAGGACAAGAAAGTGTCCCTGGCCCCAAACTGACCCCACCTGGGCCACTGAGGAAAGCCTGAGGGTTTGTGTTAGAGCAGGAAAGTTTTGGCTCATCATGTTGGGTCCTATTGAGGATCCTGGAGTACAATGGACATGAGCAGTTCAGCTGAATGCTAAAGGAAATCCTCTCACAGCAGGGGCTTGGCAATGCTGATGGCTGAACAGCGAGGGCAGAGGGAAAGGGGAATCTTCCAAGCAGGGCTGCAAGGTAAGGAAGACAGGGGGAGAACAGTGTCCTCAGTTGACCCAGCAGGCAGTACAGATACTGGAATACATGGGAAACGGGGTGGGGCCTCATTAAACTTTAATTTAAACATTAAACTCACCTCAAAATCATCATCATCACTGGGATCTGTAAGCTTGATCCTGATAAAAACTTGCTGCATCAAGCTGGACACCGTAGGGGCAGTGAGAGAGGGAGGGAGGGGGAGTGAAATGCTGGTTGGAGAAGCTCTGTGCTCACCAGAGGCTGTGTTCTGGGTATGGCATGGTTGGTCCCAGTTAAAATGGGAACTCTTCTGGAGGTGTTTTTCTTGTTTCTCTTCTCTCAGGAAATCTCGTGTGTCTAAGAAATGAAATCCTCTCACTTGACGAGGTCACGGGGGGCTGGCCCTCAGCCAGGCTGGGTTCCCATGCTGCTCTGCCCATTCCTGCCCAGGAGCCCATCACTTCCTCCAGGGCGCTCCTCACATGGATTTCTGCAGTTCTGCTCCTCTGGGTGCTGGTGTGTGCTCTGCTCCGAGCAGGCTGTGTCCTCTCCAGACCTGCTGCAGTCTCTGAATATAAACCCCCCTTTGTTGGGCAGAGGTTGACTTGACTGAGCCGCATGATCAGTCAGGTGACAAAATTGAGCACAAAAGCAGAGGAGAATGAGCAGCTGGGTGAAGGCATTAGCTGCTGATCTTGCCTCTTGACAGGCTGTGCTACTCCTCAGGGAAAAATGAGTGCCTGGCCCCGTCCTCTGCTGTGGAGCTTAACCGTGGTGTGTTTCACAGGTAAGTCCTCCTGACACAGGTTTCTCCTCACTGGCTGAGCCCAGGCTAAAGCCATAACGGGGCTGTGGGAGCCCTGGGCCTCACCAGCGTGGGCTGGGGGAAGGCAGGGAAGGAAATAAGTGTTGAAACACAGGCGGTGCTGGAAGTGGGATGCATGCGGTAAATACAAAAATTTGCTTTTACAAGAAGAAAAGGGAAAAAAAGGAGAAATAGAGCTGTATTACTCTGCATGTTGAGGATTTGCAGAGATTTTATCTTAAATCCCAAGGAGCAGGATGCCTGTTGGTAGGTTGGTAAAGATCAGGTCTCTATTCCTCCCTGACATTCTCAAGGCTCTTGTTTGTACCAAGGCAGGACACACTAAATATCACATCCTTCAGAGTCCCCTGGAGATACTTTGAGTGATTCACAGTGCTCCTTAAAAGAAAAAAAAAAGGCTCTAGAAAGCAAAATCGCTGTTCCATGACACAGACAGTGTAAGTGCAGGAGAGAAAATGGTTTGCCTGATGAAGCTGAGGTTGTTTGAGTACTGGTTTTTCACACCTGTGATTGACTAGAGCTGGTAAAATACACAAACATTTTACTAGCACTCAAAACTGGTTTTTTTCAGCCTGCTGACTTACTTTTTCTCCAGAAGTTGTTTGAATTATTAAGAAGTACTGGATAGCAAAGGTTATTGATGGCTACTGAAGTTTTGCAAACAACTCTGCTACTTTTGGTAATGTGTTATGGAAAACTACTTTCCATTTTAAAAAATTCCTCTTAAGAGCACCACCATTTGACATTAAAACCAACCAACCAATGAAACATATTCAATTAAAAAACCCCAACAACAACAACAACAACAACAAAATTCATCCAGCTTTGGGCAATCCATGTTGTTGAATCCTCTTCAGTCTCTGGCTGGCAGAGTTGAGCTGTTGGGGACAGGAGGGAGCTGTGGGAGACCAGACTTCGATCTCAGAGGTCTTTCTGAAAGGTTTTCCCTGGGAATTTGGCAGTGCCCTTAACTAACTGCTAGTGCTTACATTAGGATCAGTTTAGTGGATCTCAGGGCTGACTCTGATGCCAGAGGTGAGGAAAAAGCAAGCAGTCTGGCTTCAACCCCAATGGCAGGGGGTTCAGACGAGGGGAATTGTGCATTTTGGTTCTGGGTGGAGGTGTGGCCACAGCAGCAGTGTCCTGTGTGGAGCTGCTCTCCCTGCCTTGGACCAATGCTGGCACCTGTGTCCCTTGGATTTGAGCCTGGGGCAAACCACTGTGTTACAAAATGATCGCTCTAAGATTTGGTGTCTCTGTTTTAGGGTTACAGCAGGAAAATGAGATTTAGTTCAGTTGGTGCTCAACATTATTGGCACAGTGCTAATAATGCCAAGGTTGTGAGTTTGATCCACATGTGGGCCATTCACTTAAGAGCTGGAGTCCACGATCCTCTGGGTCCCTTCCAACTCAGACTATTCTGTTAATTCTTTAAAACCTGGGCAGTGGCCCAGATGGCTGGGTGCTCATCTGCTTTACTCACTAGTTACCCCAAAACGGGTTTTGGCACAAAGCAGGCAGTCAACAACAGGAGGGAGCACTCCCAGCAAACTGTCTCCATGTGATCACAACCTTATAAAGATTCTTTTATCCACTGTCCTGACCTGGTGCAGAACTTTAACTGGAGCTGCCATCAGCTTGGTCTGCATGTTGATGTTCATACCATGGTAGTGCTGAGCACTGGTGCCCACAGTGCCTGGCTTGCATGGTGGGTACAAAATTGAGAGAGAAATTAAAGGTGAATCAGGGCTGGGGAAAAGCCTGCAGGGCTGTGGGTCTGACACCTGACAGCTTGTGCTGTCACCCATCTTGTCACCCTGCCTGTGTCCTTCCTCACCTACATTGCACTGTTGGGTGTCAGCTGCCCTCTTTGACCTCCTAGAAAACCATAAACCAATTTTTTAGGAGTCCTTGTATTTTCCATGTCACTGGGCACGGATTGCTGGGGGAGCTTAGCAGGTGTGTGCTGCTTGGGAGAACATTTACACCCCACAGTATCAGCTCCAGTTGCCTACTGGTGCTGTGTAAGGTTGGGTGTTTTCAGAAGTTGCAGTAAGTATTGAGCAAATTCCTGCCCTGAGTTCCTGAACCCAGCTGGTGGGCACAGCTGCTGTGGCAGGAGGGGCCTGTTTTGGTTTTGCTTTCCTTCCTTTGCTTAGTACCACACTGCTAAATTAACAATAACCTGCTGCTTTCCATGCTCAGTTTCATGGGTCTGTCCTGTGTTAGAAACTGGAGGACATTACCCATGGCTGTGCCAAGGGATGTCTTCCATCAGCAGATGATGTTCCAGTCTACCATGTATCACATGAGCTGCAGTAATACCTCCTTTCTCTACAGATTTCAGCAATCCTCACTCTGAGGAGGGATTTCAGAATTAAAGCAAGTCTTGGCCCGCAGGTTCCCTTCTGGTTACTTGGTGTACCACCAGAACAGCTTAAAAAACCCTGAGCCCATGTCTTTTCTTGGCTGATCTGTTTAGGGGAGATGGGATAAAGCAGTCAGCTGCTTGACAAACATCTTAAATCAGATTGTCATGAGATCTCAGCATAAACAGTCTCAAGGAGCCAACAAAACTGGCTGTTTCAGGCAATTCTCACACCCTCAGTCAGACCTCCTGGACACTGGCATCTACTTACTTGTGGTCTCATGGACCCACTAATTTATTTCATTGGCAAGTCTCCCATGCACCAGACATGCTCAGATGCTGCTCTGTAGTGGAACATAGCAGAGAGGAGTTTCTGGCCATCAAACAATGATACATGGTTTAAGCAGCTGATAAAGATCTAAAGAGAAGCTGTCATTAAAGGGAGAACAAGAATTCAGCCTCTAATTATGTTTTTTCTTCTCTTAGGTATTGCTTTAGGCCAGACAACCAGCACTGAGGTTCTGATTTCATCAACCCCAGCTCCTCCCAGTGCAACCAGCACTGGGGTTCCCATTTCATCAACCCCAGCACCTCCCAGTGTAACCAACACTGAGGTTCTGATTTCATCAACCCCAGCACCTCCCAGTGTAACCAGCACTGGGGTTCCCATTGCATCAACCCCAGGACTTTCCAGTGCAACCACGGCTGCAGCCTCTGCTCCCCCAGCTGCTCCTGCAACGCTCTCAGCTGGACTGACACCAACCACTGCAAACCCTGCTGCATCCACAGCAGCTCCATCTGCTGAGCCAAGCACAAGAACCCCTGCCCAGACCCTGCCCAGCACCACAGGGACTGTCCCCACCACTGGCAGCAGGGCCACCTCTGAAGCATCTCCAGCACTGACAGCCACCTCCAGCAGAGCCCCAGCGTCCCCTCCAGGAGTGACCACATCCCCTGGGCTCCCCAGCACCCCCCAGCCCTCCAACTGCAGCAGAGTGAATGTGACAGCCTGTGCCCACTGCCCCCCAGGGACAGTCCCCACCCAAGGTAAGGGTCCCTGCTCCCAGCTCCTGCCTTAGAGGGAGCAGGGATTGTCAAGAGATGTGAAGCCAGCACTTGTTCTTGTGTTGGAAGCTTGGACAGGCAGCAGGAGAGGAACTTGATTAATTTCACCCTTCTGAAATCAAAGACTTGGCCTTTCCTGGCCTTGTCCTGTGTTTTGGTCTTCCTGAGGCTTCCCCAGTTGGGTGACAAAGTAGTCAGATTGTGACACAAAGTGTAACACAAGTACTGTTTGATTTATTGGCAGAACATCATTTTGGGGTCCAGTGCCAAATACAAGGTCAGTCTCCACCTGTCTAAAATGAAAGAGAATCTCTGCTATAGAGAAAGCCTTTTTCCATGGTCTTGAGAAAGTAATTGATCAACCTCTGTAGTGGTCAGCAATGCACAATATAACCTTTCCCAGAAGTGATTTGTTGGAACATGGTTGGATTTTGATTTCAAACACCACCACCCCATCCTACAAAAAAAAAACAAACCAAAACCTCAAAAAAAAAAATAGTTCTCAAAAATACAAGCCCTGTACTTTTTGCTTATTCCCTGCACTGTAGGCCACTTTTTAAAAGCAACTCTGATGCTTTAGGGTGAATTTGCAGAGGACAGCAGTTATCGCCCACCTCCCTTTTATGCAGGATCTTCTGTGACAGGGCTTTCTCCTCTTGCCTGTGTTGCTGGTGCAGCTGCAGTAAATCCCACCCAATTCCTCTGTGTGGCTGGGATTGGTTTTGTGGAGCAGGGAGGGGCAGAACTTGCCTGCTGGCAATGCCATGGAACCTGTGCTCACAGAAAAGCTGTTGCTGCTTAAGGCACATCCTTGACTCTGGGGCTTTACTCATCAATTCTTCTTCCTACAAGCTTAAATTATCAGTAATCTAAAGTATATTGGTTGGGTTTTGGTGGTTTTTTTTTCTCTTTTTGTTTTTTTTGTGTTTTGGAGGGAAAACAAGGAAAAGTTTCCTGGCCTCTCAAATTAAAGAAGGAAAAAGCAGTCAGAGCTAAATTACTGGAGATCCACACTAATAGCCTTGACTCCTTAGATCATCTTTTGGCTGTTCTGCAGCTTGCTAATGGTGGACAGCAGCATAATTAGCATGAACATTGCTGTTTCCATCCTCTATGAGTGCCTTGCCAGAGGAACTGCATCCCAAACCTTCTGCCTTTGTGGCAGTGACCTGTCCTGGCAGACATGGGGGTTCCAGTCAAGTCTTGCAATCCTGATCCTGACTTTTTGTCCCAATTTAGGCACCATGAGCTGCTCGTGCTGTGCAGGGGGCTCGTGCAGTGACCCCAGTGCCTGCAGCCCCTGCCCACCTGGCCACTACCAGCCCCAAAGTGGGCAACCATCCTGCCTGCCCTGCCCACAGGGCTATTACACCAGGTGAGTGACTGGGCCCCTGGGGCTGGGTGATGCACCACAAAACACTTCTCTTCTTAGCGCTGTAGGAAAAGTGCTGCCAGGGTTGTTTGTCAAATTCTCCTCATCAGGAAGCCTTGGTGTGGATGTGCTGGTGCTGTGGGCTGTCTCTCTGTGCAGTTCCCTTTTTACCCTCATGCCTTTTGTCTGCACGGAGGGAACATGCTGTTTTGTGGTGGGGAGACACTTGGGAGTGAGCTGTGGGTTCATCTCCTCAGCTTTTCTCTCGGATATGTCTGACCAACAGGCTCCATCTCCCTGCTTTGCCCAATCACTTTTTCGATCCCTGTTTTCTTGCTCACAAGGCACCTCATTACATTTGAGTGGCTGTCATCTAAAGCAATACCCTCAGCTGTGGAAAAGCTGACAAGACATCCCAGGCAGGAGCCCAGTCTTGCTGTTCCCCCAGGCTGTCTCCTCCAGGGGTGCTGTACAAGTGTCCTCTGGCTGTGGGGACAAGGGCATGTGCTGCTCTCCCCATTTCCATTGGATTTTCTCTTGCTGTATCCGTGTCTGCACAGTGAGCTGTGTCCTTTGTGTGGTGGCAAGGACAGGAGGGGTGGCAAGAGCCTCCCAGGACTGTGTCCATTGCAGAGCAGCTCCATTTGGAACAGTCCTGGGGAATGGCATCAAAACCCGGCTGCAGGAAGGGTGAGCTGACTGTGCAGTTTGTTTGCAGCAGCCCCTGAGTTTGAGGTGCCAGCAGGACTTTTCTCTGTGCTCCCCCCTTGCAGTTTGTGCTATGAGGACCTGCCTTAAAAAAGCATCCCTAAATTGCTATAGAAGCAGTCAGGAGCAGCCTGCAGGACACACAGAGCTGGGATGTGGGAGAGGGCAAGGCCAGGGAAGGTCAGGCAGCAGTGCTGGGTTGGTTGTGCCAGAGCAGGGACCAAAAGTGGGGGAATCTGGAGGGGACCTGGGGGTGCAGTGTGTGCATGGCCATCTCCTGGTGGCTGCTGGGCTTCCATGGGACCATTTAACATTTCTGTGGTATTTGGAGGATTTGGCCTCCGTGCAGCTTTGAGTGGCTCTGGCTGGTGCAGACCCTGCATTGGTTTGTTTTCAGCCAAGCATTTACTAGGTTTCCAGTTGGTTTTAGGTTTTTTGTTTGTTTTTTTTTTTTTTTTTCTGTAAATCTCATGCAGCCCTGCAGTTTCTAAAATAATTACAGAGCATGTCCTTGTTTTCCTGCAAAGCATCTCTGAGTATGGTATCAAGTTCCTCCTATACCCACATACTTGTTGAGGGGGATTTGGCTCTGTTAGTGATGAATGTAAAAGCTTCCTCTTTCCCTGCCTTTGCCTCATTTCCTCCCCCTCCTCCTGGAGGTCTGACATATTTCCTCCCTTTTCCCACAGCCCCTGCAATTCAAGGTCAGGGCTCTCACATGTCACTGCCTGTGGTTTAGGTCCTTTTTTTTCAGCTCCTGATTCCCAACAATTGAGCAGCTCCTTTTGAAATCATTGATGATGCAAACACCTTCCCTATTCCACTTTCAGGAGTGGATTTAAGAGTCTGACTTAAGCCAAGGATTTTAAGTCTGACCATAACATATTTTTCAAGACCTTCAATTCAGATGGTCCCTTTCCATATTGCCCACAGGCACAGGGCATCTCTAATGCTAATAATGCAGAAAACTTTAGTTTTTTAGTGGACCTTTAACATTCAAGTGAGTTCAAAGTGATGTTTTTTCTGCCTGAACTCCTTTTTCATAATTGCTCTGTCTCTACACTAGTCAGTGTCATGTTCTGCTCCTTTTTTTCCAAGTGGATAGAGGCTTGGGCGACCTAAAATTGTGTTCCACTCTGCTCCCTTCCCTCCCAGCTTCCCAAGGAGCACCGTGTGTCTTCCCTGCCCGCCAGGACATTTTGCTAATGAGTCTGGGGCTGCAGTCTGCAGAGCCTGTGAGCGAGGTAGGCTTTGCTCTGTGTTCAACCCAAATGCATTTTCATGGCATGATGCTTTGTCCCAGGGCCAGATGCAATTACCAGGTAACTTAAAAGCACTGAAGGGTAAACGGGCTAAAAATAGCGCAGCAGTTCTCTCCCCTATTCTGTTGTTATTAAAATGAAAAGAGCAGATCTCAGCCATGCTTGTTTTTGCAACAAGTTGATGCTAACTCTGCAATGAAAGTCAGGAAGAAAGTTTTATGAAATTCCGTTTTTGCACAAGGGGGAAGCGTTGACGGGAAAATAAAATATTCTCTATTTCTGATAGCAAAAATGAGCCTAAACCATCTTTGTTTTCATTTAGGCAGTCCTCTGCAGTCTGAATATTAAGTGTAATACTCTCCTTATTTTCCACACATCAAAACTGGGGTTTTAAAAAGGAGCTGCTTTGCACCTGGCTAATGCCACTCAAGCCTGGTACAATGTGTTTGCAGACAGGGTAACAGCATGTGCAGAACAGAACAGCACTTACTTATGCAAAACACTAATTAACACATGCAGTGCAGCAGCTCCTCTGCACCCAAAATGGGGTCCTGCTCGAACATACACAACTGTTCCTTTGGAAATCCACCCACCAAGCTGCTGGGCTGTACCTAAACCTTGGCTGTCACTTGCTGAGTTTGGGAGGAACAAAATCTGACTGGTGACAGCAATGGGGTCTGTCACTCCCTTTACTCAGCAGATCTGAACACGGTGTTAGACAACAGGGGAGTCTGTGAGGGTGGCCCCTAAATCCTGCAAGTATAAATATAAAAAGTTCCTTTCTCCTTGCAGGGAGAGAGGAAGTGAGTTTGGTTTCATCCTGCTCTGCTGCAGCCTCTGCTGCCTGGGGCTGATCTAGGTTTGAGGCAGATCTCACCCACACCACGTCCAGCTCCTCTCTGAACCTTAACTTGTCCCATACGAGCAGTGACCATGCTGTGCACCATCAGGCACCTCCAAATCCACTTGGATTCCCAAGTGCTGCTCTCTCAGCCTTCCTGTTGGTGTGGAAGGACTCACAGGTTGGGTCCTGCTGGCCCCTGGGCACTTTGGGGCACTTCACTCCTTTTTGTGCTTTGGGAAGGGTCTGTTCATGTCCTCCTGCCCATCCTGCTCCTCGTGGTGCAGGGAGGGAGGCTCTGCACCAGCAGAACCATCTTGGCTGGTGGGTCTTGTGTCCTTCCTTTTGCAGGGAAGAAGATGCACCCCAGACTTCCTGGGCTGGGAGAAAGTCTGGAAGAGCTGGGGTGACCAGGGAGGTTTTCCCTGGCCAGAAACCTGCTCCAGCTGAATAACTCGGGAATTGGCATTGGGATCACCTATTCCAGCTTCATTCCAGTTCAGCCTGTGGTACTGGGAATGGTGACAGGTTTCTCTGTCTCCTTGGTGTGGTTTGGAGTGATGTGAGATGTGACACCAGAGAATCAGCCAGAGCCCTCCGTGCATCCCTCAACATGGCAGAGGGCAGCAGGGAACTTTCACTGCTCTTTCAGAGCTTTTGACAAAAATTACCCCAAATATCCTAAATTAATCCCTGAAATGCCACCTGATGCATGTTGTGGGGAGTTGTTTGGTTGCTTGTAAAATGGACATGAGCAAATACACAACGATGTGGAGCAGAGATGTGGAGGCAGGGTCCTGAAGCCTTGCTCTTATCTTTTTCAGGCTATTTTAGCTCCAAGCAAAATGCAGTTTTTTGTCTGCCTTGCAGGCCAGGATCATTTTGCAAGTAAGGAGCCTCCTGGGGTGCAGGATCTCAGGTGGACAGGGAGGGGGGATTTCTTTAGCCACTGAGCTGGGACCACCAATGTAGTGCCCAAAGACAAGTCACCTGCCATTTCAGCTGTAGGATGGGGCTTCAAGCAACCTGGGCAGGTGTCCCTGACGATGGCATGGGGCTTGGAATGAGATGATCATTAAGGTCCCTTCCAACCCAGACCATTCTGTGACAGTGTGTGAGAAACTGCACTGGAGAAAGACACAGAACAGCAAAGGTTCCTGGCTGGCGTGGTTGACCCTGGGGACTCCAGTTTGTAAGAGCTGGCTTTGGTGGGCTGGGCTGGCCTTGGAAGTGCTCATCCTACAGCGTGTCCTGCCTCCTGTCCCCTCCCAGCACCAGCAGCTGCTCAGCCTGTGTGTCCTGTCCCGGGGGGCAGGAGGCTCCTGGGGAGGCGTCCGAGGGATGCGAGTCCTGCCCGCCAGGTAACTGCACCTGGGAGGGGAGGGCAGGCTGTGCCCAGCTCCGAGCACTCAGCTCCAGCTCCAGGGCTCATTCCAGGCTCAGCTCATCCCACCAGGGGCTGCAGGTCCCTGCAGAGCAGAGCTGTGCCCTGGCACTGAGGGACAGTGCCAGTGTGGTTTGACTGGGTGCTGGTGGAGGCTGTGCCTGTGCCAGACCGGTTCGTGTGTGCTGGTCCCTGGCATGCCAGGGAGCCCAAACCCACAGCTGGGTGGTGCAAAAAGCATCTTTGTCATGGTGGGGGCTAGGCTGAGGAAAGCACAGCCTTGCTGTGAGATGGATGCTCTGCAGGGGCAGGGGAGGGACACGGTTCCTGTGAAACAACACCAGGCTGCAGCAGGTGAGCCAGAGTTCAGGCACTGCACTCTGGCCACCCCCATGGCAGTGCCCAGCCTCCAGTCTGGACACAGCACCAGGGATGTCTCATAGCCAAGCTGCATTTTAAACATGCAGGAAAGCATTTTACCACTTTGAGACTTGGAACTTCTGTGACCCATCTCTCCCACAAAGCTTGGGAAACTGAGCTCTGCTTTGAAGTCTGCTCAGCAAGTTTCAAACAGCTGGAAAAGGTGTTTGAATCAGAATTGGAGAGGATGAAACACTGCTGACCTCCAGCTCCCATCTTCCCTCTACACTGAAGCCAGAGCTCATTACTAAACCTCTCTCCCACGTACTCCTACTCACACTGCTCTGTTTGCCACGGTCTGACCCCAAATATTCTTTAGTCTCTCTGTCTCTGTTTGTTCTGTTCTGGCCCTTTGCCACCGAACCAGGACCAAAGTCCAGCCTCAGCTTTTGTTATGCACATGAGCATTTAATGCTCTTTCTCCCTGTGGCTTTCAAAGCTGATTCATCCATATGCAATTGCAAAGATCCTGGGGTTCACTCTCAGACCTTAATATTGTGATTATTTGCTATTTAGGTACATTCAAAGGTCCCAGTGACAACAGATGCAAGGCCTGCAGGACAGGAGAGTACCAATTACAGCGGGGCAAGGAGAGCTGTGACCTGTGCCCAGAGAGCCACTACTGCCCTGTGAGTGCCCATCAGCTGGGGCAGCCTGTGTTAACCAGAGCTGTCCCATGACAAGCTAAATACACTTCAATTAACACTTTTTCCTTTTTTTTTTTTTTTTTTTTTTTTTTTTTTTTTTTTTTTTTTTTTTTTTTTTTTTTTTTTTTTTGTAATCTGAGCTTTCTTTCTCTTAAACATAAACAGGGCTCTGATGCAGGGAGGTGATTAAAATGATGACTCCAGGAGTGTGGCTTTGTGCCTGGAGCTGCCTGCTCTGTCTGGGCCATGAGGGGATGGTGTGTGCATTAATGAGGGGTTTCATGTATTGACTTGCTGTGTAATGACACCTTCTGCTCTTCCCCACACTCTAACACTGCAGGGGCAGACAAGACTGAATTTAATGATGGCAGGTCCATTCCTTTATTTCTTTTTTTTTTTCCCCTCTAATGCTAAAATGCTACCTCCCTTTGCCCTGGTTACCTCCTGCAGTTTGCTGGTGCTGAGTTACTTCTTCTCTTGGGCAGAGCCCAGATGTGAGCCCAGTGAAGTGCCCTCCTGATGCCTTCTGCCCCAGGGGCAGCGTGGAGCCCAGCTACTGCATGGAGCTGTTCCTGTACAAGGCAGGGGACTCCTGCCAGCTGACCCCTGCCACCATCATTGTCCTGGCCACCTTCTCAGCAGGTGAGTCTGGCTCCCCTCTGTCCTCTGGTAATACCCCCTGCAGCTGTGTGTTAAACAGAGGATTCTCTGGCTGTTCTCACAAGCATTTTGTGTTTCGGGGAATCTGTATTTCTAATGAAAGTCCTCCTGGCTGCTTTCAATGGCAGTGACAGTCCTTTCCCTTGCTCTGAAGGAAGGTGGCACAGTGCTGAAGGCTTGTTGTTTGTCCCTGGGAAGCAGGGTGTGTATGGACCTCAAACAGGGATTCCTTGGCTGCACAGAAGTAGGGAAAAGGACAATTTCCTTAAGTGGCCTTAATTGCCTAAAGTCATGCCACAGCATGCAGCAGGATGGGGAGCTGCTGGCTCAAACAGTGTTGGTTGTATTGATGCCAAATGTACCTTGCATGCAATGTTAGGACCTGCTCAATGTGGGGAGCATCCCTCCACGTGCCACCTGCTGTAAATTTACTCACCAGGGCAACCTAATGAGTGAATGAGCTTTTCAATTGGGAAGCTGCACAATGAATAATCATTCCCAAACAATGAATATGCATTTTTAGTCTTAGGGAAGGGAAAAATAGAGTTCTCGTGTTTTTAATCGGTTGGGGGGAGGTTTAATCAGAGAATTATGATGAAAGCGAGCAACTATTTGTGCTGTGGATTGCAAAAAGGGCAGATGAGGAAGCTGGGAGGAGGAATCTGTCTCCTGTGCCCAGAGAAATGCTTAGAGAAATCTCTAAGTGCCACTTACACTACCAGAGATGAAAATCTTGTGTCAAGAGAGTCAAGTCATAGAGATGAGTAAGCCATCAGAGGATAAAGAACATCCAACAAGCCTCATATTCACGGTTTCTATGTTTCAAGTGTGTTTTATGTACTTCCTGAAGACCCATTCTCCACTTGGCTGGCTGTTGTTAAAAGGAGAGGAGAGATTAAATGCATTTGTTACTTCCCACAGTGAACGAGACACAGCAAAGCTGCCTCTCCAACAAGAAAGCAGGGTTCTCATCACACTTGTCCCTTGGCAGCTGAGGGGACTCCACGGATGTTTGAGAGTTGTCAAGGCCAGCAGGGTCTGCAGGAGCTGTAGCAGCACCCTCTGAGTGCTGTCCCCATGGGCTGGAATGCCTGGTGGGAGCAGACGAGGGTTGTTCTCACAAGCTGTGCCTTGGAGCCATGAGAAAGCTCCTCCACTGACCCCTGTCCCCTCGTGCCAGGCTGTTGTCCAAAATTCCGCCAGAACAGATGCCATCTGAAGCGAGTATTAATTTGAAAAAGTAGATTAAACTGAAGTATATGAAAAGACTGCCCAGAGAGGGACAATGGCCCATTAACCAGCATTTGTGATAAACAAGTCTGAGGATCAGGGAACAGCATTCCTGCCTCTCCCAGAGCTTGCTGTAAAAGAGGGGGAAAGGAGACAGCCCACGCAGGAACCCGTGACTATTTCACGGCTGGTCTCACAGATCAAGTGTTTACTATGAGACTGTCTGCTCACACAACTGAAATTTGGGTGGATTTGTCTGGCCATATTGCATCACAGCGACAGATTTGTGCTCTTCTGTTCAGATCAATTTTCTCTGATGATGCTTCTGCCAGAAACAAACGAACAGAATGTCGCAGTACTTGAGATTTGCCAATTACTTCCATGTCTATGCCCAATCCAAAAGTAATTTTTCCTGACAGCTCTGATCTCAGTCTAGACTCAGAGTTAATCTAGGTTAGTTACTTCCTGTGCTTCAATGTGAGTGCTGCACGGAGCAAATTAATTTCTCAACAAGATCCTTTTGGTGGGGTCTGCAGTGAATAAGATGCCAAGTAGAAAACAGTTCCAGACAGCAGAGAGTAAATGAGAGTAGGAAAGCAAGTTACTGAATTATTTCATTAAAACTTGTTATTCCTTGCAACTTCCAGAGTTAAGCTCAGCTGCTGAAGCTGAATGTATTATTGCTAGTGGAACCTTTTTCCCCCCTCTTTTTGGAGAGGGACAGAGTATGTAGGAGAAAAAACCCTATTATTTTACAGAAAAGAATACCTGAGTTGAGAAGCCTTGGAGCAAACATCACCTGACACTTTACCTTCCCATCTGTGAATCACCACCATTCCTTTCTTTCCAGGTGGAATCCTTGTTGTCTTTCTAGTGATTCTGAGAAGGTGGCAAGAGCGTGGCAAGAAATCCCTGCAGTCGCTGTTGCTGCCCCGGGGCTCGGCAGGACACAGCACGTACGGGGGCACGGAGCACACAGAGCCAGTCTATGCTGGCTGGTAGCACGGCCATCAGCAGCAGCCACCTGCCTCTCTTTGCCCTGTGGGCCAGCACAGATGTGGTTCTGGGCAAGGTGTTTAACCATGAACAACCTATTTCTGTATAGCTAAAATCAGTGCTGGGAAATAAAAGTCGGTTTTGGAATTGTGGCTGCTTGTGCAAACCAACCCAGCTCCCTGTTCTGCTGCACTGGGCTGATGGGAAAAGTCTTCCCCTTCCACTTCCTGGCTTCATTCACAAGTAAATACCTTTCTCCTTTCTTCAGGGGGAAAAACCCCCAAACAACAATCATATCTGTTTCTCCATTTTAATAGTCAGCTCAACAGAGTGAGGACTGACTGCTCCAGCTATTGAGGTCCCTTTGATACACCACTCACGTCCACCCAAGCACAGACTAACATGAATATGGCTCCTTTTAGTAATATGCAATTTTTAATTTCGTTCCCCATTCTCAAGTTTTAGCATAAGCACAAGTCAAGGGAAGGGATCCTAAAGCTGTCCCCTTCTTTTCAGCTGTGGGCAAACATGTACAACTCATGTAATTGTTGATTCCTGGACAAGTATGTCCCTTTTGTTTCCTGCTGTCAGGTGGCACAGAAGATGCCTTGCACGTTTCTGCAAAATGCCTGGGCAAAGTTCTGTCCCTGATCCTGGACACCCCATTCATCCCCCATCCAGGAGAGCAGCACCAGTGGTTTGTACCTGTTTGCTGTGGCACTCCAAGCCTTCTTCTGTGCACCCAGCCCAGATTAACCATCTGGTTAAATTAATGTGATTTGTATTTTCCAGAGATGATTTCTGCGTGTGGCTGGTTGACTCTTGTTGTTTGCTCTATGTCCCCTATGATGTTTTTCTCTGGGCAATGCTTAGCCAGCATCCCAGGCACTCAGAAATGCCCATCAGCTGTACTGGAGCCAGTGTCAAATGCTCCATGAATCCAGCACCTGTGGCCTCTTCACCTTCCCACCTTGTTTTTGTTTTCCTCCTACGGTGACATTCTCACACAGGTGCTGTGTAAACCCAGCCCAGCCAGCTGTGGCCTTTTGTGTCAGTGCTGTGCTTCACCAGCCCTTGATGGCCAGTAAAAACTATCAGAAGATCCACGATTTTTAATGACTCTGCACAGAGGTGGTAGCAGGTGTTCTTCTCACTTAATCTTGCAGCAGCAGAGGTGGCTGAGGAACGCAGCTGTGGGGGGTTAAGTGGCTCCTGCCCTCAGCTGCTCGTTCTCCTCTCCCCAGGGAAGGTGTTGAAAGTGTTTAAAAGAATTTATCAAATATATCAGTTCTCTGGTCTCTCCCAGCTCTGTCAGGTGAGTGACTGGGTGGAAGAGTGGTACATCAGCTGCTGTGGGCAGACAGGGTGCCCAGAGCAGCTGTGGCTGCCTGGTCCCTGGAAGTGTCCAAGGCCAGGTTGGACAGGGCTTGGAGCAGCCTGGTCTAGGGGAAGGTGCCCCTGTCCATGGCAGGGGTTGGAACTGGATGGTCTTTAGGGTCCCTTCCACCCCAAACCTTCTGTGGTTCTTTATAATCTGGATCAGCACCAACAGGGGTGGTACCTACACCCCTCCCCAGTGCCAGCACCCAGCAGGGGCACAGCCCTGTGCAGTCTCTCCCACTGATGATTTAGGGGAGGTGTGGAGTTTCCCTCTGGCCCAAGGCTGTGGTTTTCCTCAGAGCAGCAGAGGGACACAATCCTGATGCACAGCACCAGGTGACCTCAGAACTATCAGCCACCAGTATCAAAGCAGATCTCTCAAGTGCTTTTTTAAAAAATGTAGGTGCTGCCACACATGGGAGGCTCCACACGTGAAGCCGAACCAAACCCTCAGAAAAAAACTGTCTGAAAAAGCCAAACAGTCAAATTCAGACCTGACCAAGCAGGACCAGCATTTGTGACAGCAAAAGAACCCCGAGGGAGAGGTGCTGGCTGGGCTGGGTACTTCCAGCTCAGTGTCACAAAAGCCTGTAAAATTATGAGCAACAGAGAGCAGCACTGGAAAAACTGGGCTGCAAGAAATGTCAGCGTTTCTGTGATAAACAATAGTGTGAAAACAAGCTCCAGCACAATCATTATCACCACTGTGGAAGCACAAAACATTTCCAGGGTGTCTCTTAGGAAGGCCGGGAGTGTAACTTTTCCCTATGAGAGAACAATTCCTGTTCCCTCACTGCCAAACCACACTTGCTTAGTATGTATCAATTCCACTTTTATCTTTCAAGAAAAAAAAAAAGGTGTCAAAGTAAGTATATAGAGCTGTTTTACAAATGAGACTTAGCAACTTCTTAAATAACTAGGAATAAAATTCAACATTTAATAAGACATTGAAGTTTCTCAAGCAGTCAGACATGGAATAATGAGACTCAACAATGTGGAAAAATCCATTAATACGTCTTTCAAGATCTTTTGCTTTTCCAAGTAATTCAAATAAAAAACCTCCTAAAACCTGACCATGAACACAAAGCTATTGAATAAAACAGACATTTACTCTGATTATTTTTCCTAGGTTGTATGAAAATTTTTCTAACATACTCAACTGAAAATTGTTTCCATGCTTGCTCATGTGATAAAAGAACAACAAATTGTGAAATTGGCTGTCATGTGTCAGCTTTTTGCTAGAAAAGGAAAGACATTTTGCTACTTTGATGGGCAAGACACAAAGAACATCATTTAAGGCCACATAATATGCCACAGTTAATGTTGTTTAGATTAATTTATAACAGAAAATCCTTCAAGTTGCTGAATGCTAAAAAGTATTGAGTTGCATCACGAGAAAGCTCAAGTCTTAAGGATTGTTTTACCTTATATTTGAACAGTGGGAGAAGGAAAACAACGTCACAACTTTTCTTTTCTCTTCTTTTTAAAACAAAACTTCAGCCTGTTTTCTCAGGCTGCAGAGCAAGGTACAGAAGCCTTCATTACAATGCACCTAAACCCCACCTGTCCTGGTACAGACACCAAAATTCTCCCGGATCACCACCTGAGTGCCTGAGCTGAGTTCCCAGGGTTGCATGGGCAGTAGGAATGAATTCCCAGGAGCTCACAAGGGAACTCCTGGTCTGCACCTCAGTGATGCAGAACTCCGTGGGCCCCGAGCAGGAAAGAGCAGGGAGAGGTAGAAGGAAGCAGAAAGTCAAACAGCCCCTGGCTCAGATCTGTGTGTGTGAACAGCCTCTGCCCCACAGACAGGCACAGGGGGTGGCTGTGCTGCGTGCTGCTGTGCTGGGTGTGCTCATGAGCCCCCTGAGAGGCTCCGTGCCCAAACCACAAACCCCAGGGGTGCTGTTACTGCAGCGCTGCCTGCCTGTAACAGCAGCAGCTTCTGCAGGTGGGGATCTGCCTGGGGCATCACTGTGCCACAGTGACAGAGCTGTTACACCTACACACAAAGAGGAAAAAGCAACGAAACAACTAAAAAAAAAAAATTAACAAATTATGAAAGCAATGGAATGTAAAGGAAATATTTTATAATAACTTATTTAAAGGTATTCTTACAAAGCCTTCCTTACATGGTATAATATTCAAAGAATGGTCCCAATGACATCAAATTCCTTCATTTTGTTTTAAAGCAATGAGGAAAATATTTCTGCTTTACTACCTGACCTCATTTTCCTTCCCTTGAAACAATACTAAAGAAACATCCATAATATCATTTTTTGGTTTTGATTTTATACACAGGACTGTTCTTCAGCCCCATGGCAGAGAAAAAGTTTCCCTCAAAATCAATTAAAGAATCTTGAATTTTATTTGAGTGCAAGGCTTGGCATACCATTTTTTAAAAATGCAAACATGTAACAACTTCCTCTGATTTTGAATTGTGCTATTTCTTCAAAATTATTTAAAAAAAATTAAACTTCCAACAGTGTTTAAAAAAACTGATTCAAAAAACAAAGTATTTTGGTCACAAAACAGAAACCAAAGTATTCAGCATAGGGCAATGCAACATTTATAAACTCTTTCAATCAATATCTTCTAATAAAACCAAAGTTTTTACATGTTGGGAATAAATGGGGGTTTTGGCAATTCCAAGAACTAAATCAAATCCTGAAGAAATAACTTGGAAAAAAATCCATACATTTCCAGGCTTCATTTTCAAAAGGGCTACACAGAGTTCCTGCTCTATTAAGGGCAAACTAAGCTAGAACATACACAAATGGCTCAATGGACATGGAGGTGCACGTGGTGCTCAGGGAGGGAGGCTCACAATGGCACAACTCAAAACGTGCTTGGAAATGCCAAAAAACTGGCAAAGATGTTTTTCTTTACTGCTTTTTCCTTGTTCTAGGATTATTTCCATCAATACTACATCTTGTATATTCATCTCACAGTGAGTTAGGGAGGACCTGCTGCTAATGGGAGCAAGGAATTCAAAACAGCTTTGCTGACACCACACAGTGGTGACAGGACAGTCAAGAGCAGAGCTCCTAAAAATGTAACAAAAAATTTCAGTCTCTCAAGTTGCCAGTTTTATACAAACTTTATCCAAAGGAACAGAGTAAGACTAAATTTCACAATAAAATTCTTACATGCTTCTTCAAAAATCTATTTCACTTTTACTTAATTGTTTTGAATTTCATTTTTGCACTTCAGTCAAGCTTCACTTTCTGTTTCATTTATGGGGTTGGTTTTGCTCCTTGTTGGGCATTTCTTGCATTATCACAAAGTTGAAATGCTTGGAGACTTCAAGCATTCCAAAGAAAAGTTTGCCTTTGCATTTTACCTGCCATTGAGAAAAAGAAAAATCAAGTAATTTTTTCCAAATAATAGCTTTTGAAAATTTTTTTATTAAGACACAAAAATCCTAGAGTATTGGGCCTAGATTGCAAGCCAATATCTCTTTAAGTCCAGACCTGTACAGCTCTGCAAGATCAAGTAACTTCTATTTTTCTGGGATGAAATACAGGAAAAAACAGTATAGAAAAAAAATCACAAGTCAGATTCCTCCTCTCTGGTACAGGGCTGCCTTTCCCACCATGCACCACACTTCTTGGTGGAAGGATATTTATGATCATGATCGCTTAAGAATCATTTTTGAAAAGCACAAAGCAGTTGCTGTCTGTGTGGTTGTAGGGAGAGATGCACCTGGGTCATGACTGGCATTCAAGCACTTGCTCAAAAACACACAAGGCAAGCAAATTTCATTGGGACCACAGACCAAGCCATTTCTTACTCAAAAGGACTTGAGAACTAACAACTTCTTTCAAGGATAAACTATTTTAAACATCTGTTGGTTGACAAATACTATCTCAAAAAACTATGTTTACGCCTACCTGGTTTGATTTTAACCTACCTCCAACCTGCAAGTATTTTGGAGGGAACATTTTACATTCGTAACAATTCAAGTGTAACTGTAATGCTGAGTAATAAGTTTGGTTTGTCCTGAAGTTTGCTGAACTATGCAGTTCGTTATCAGTGCAGAAGCAGCAGAAGACTGCTGTGGTTGGCTCAGTGGATTCATAAAAACAAAACAAAAAAATTCCCCCCCCACTGTAACCTTTACAGAATATACGTAAAATTGTGTCCTTCCCTGGTCATATTCACAACTTATCTACAAGATAGTGTTAGCAGTAGAAACTGCAGTCCATGACTATTTGCATTCAGCTCTCATCCATCTGTTCCTCTTTCTCCTGGGCTTGAACTTGTTCAGTTTTTTGCGGGGTTTCTCAGTCTTCTGAGTTTCAACAGAATCCACCCCGAGAACATGTTCAGAGCAGCATAACTGTCCATTCAACATGGAATTTAGTACTGTCCTGTCTTGGTGCTCCTTGCAGAAAGAGTTTGGGCAGAAGTGGCAGAAAGAAACAGAAGGTTTGCCACAAACATCACAGTGGTGCCAAGGACACTCCCACTTTCCTGCAATCAAAATCAAAGAGCCCATTAGTGGAGACTAAAACACGGCATCATGGCTTAAGGAAGTTTTGTGTTGTAGCAGCTGAACAAGGCACAACTTTCCTGACAGAGCAAATGACAGCAACTACCGGGGCTGATCTCAACACTCAAAATGCTACATCATACTTCTAAAGCTCAGCTGGCAGCTGCAAGGAGCAGACTTGACACGCTCTCATTTAAATACAGCAGTCAGCTCCAGCTAGAAGAAATGACTCAGGCTTCACTCAATAGCATTTTACAGAACTGTCAGGCTGGCAGAGCACCCAAACATCCGGTCAGCTGCTGCCTCCTCTAACAGCAGTCCCCTGTCTGCTGCCAGTCTTGCTCAGGAATGACTGGTGTGCTTCACTTACAGCTGCTCTTTTTGCCCCAGCATACTTCACCAGTCCTTGTTTCACTTGTTTCTGGGATAACAGGCTTTGCCTGCTTCCCTTCTTCATATCCCTGACATGGTGACTGGAACCAGGTAACTCCTGTGATATCTGGAACTGCAACCTGGTGTCTGCTGCTCTTAATTTCCCTTCTTTCAGAAGCTGCTGCTGTTCTTCTGGCTTGAACTCGAAGGGCTTCATGCATTTCTTAGATAGAATCAACTTTCCTGTGGCAGGGCCACAGTGCTCCTACCAGGTGATGTGCTCAATTACCTACATTTGTAAAACAAATGCCTTAATTTTGCCAGAGAGGCAGGAGAAGGCCACCATTTTGTCTTCAAATCCAAGAGGAGCTGCTCCCACGTGATGCACAAATGAAATTCCTGCCATACAAACCCAATGTTTTCAGGATGACACCCCTGACAAGGTTTCAGTGCGATAACTGAGGTACCTGTACAAGTTATTTAAACAAGTGTAAGGCATGGGCTGACTCACCAAAAGGACGTTTCACCAAGCCAAGGCAAGAGAGATGATAAGCTTTAGTACAAGATTTCCTGTCACACAACACCAGCTGCCCTCCATCACCACAACGGAAACAATCATCTTCAGATTCTTTCTTCCCTTCATTTTTCGTTCTGCGTCTCCGTGTTCTCTTTTTGGTCTTTTTGCCTTTTTCTTCTGAGGCATTAGTGGAAGAATTCTAAAAGAGTGAAATATAAATCTGTGAATGCCAGTTTTGTAAAGGAAAGACATTACACAACCTAGCCAAGGTGTTGGCACACCTGGCAGACTGTGCACACAGCCAAAAACTTGACTTGGGGCAGACCTGCCCAGTGCTTCACTGCACTGATCTGTGTTGACGAAAAACCTACACTGACCCTTGTGAAAAGTCATCCTGAAAACAGATTTTCTCCCTACACAACCTTCCTACCGAAAAAACCTCTTCATTTTCTTGTCACTGACAAAAGGTCTTCCAATTTCCAGTGTCATCTACTTGTGGCTAGTTTACCCTCATTATGTACTTGCACCACCAATCACTTCAATATCCATTTTTTCTCTTCCAGTTGTGAATACTCATTCTAGAATTACTAACACCTGCCCCCATTTTTCTTTGACAGACAGCAGAACTTCAGGAACTGTAGTTAATGACAGAAAGAGTATACCAAACCTTATCTCTTACCCCTATTTCAATCTGACTTCAATTCTGCTGCTTTCACTTTAACTCTCCTTCACCAAATTATATAAAATTTTGGATAATTTTTCAACATCCCTACCATCATTCCCTCCCTTTCATCCCGGTAATCACTATCTACTTTCTTTAAAATTAGCCCATTCTATCTACCAATGCATACAGTTCCATAAAACTAAACTTTAACATTTAATTTCTTCATGGTTGTCAGTGTAAATGTTCACAGGCTTATGTGAAACCTCATTTAAGTCCATCTCTTAACAAAAACCAGCTGTGTGGGTTCTGAAGATTCCCAGTCCACTCTCTGAAGTGACTAGTACTGAACAGTGTGAAGGACTACAGGGAAGTGCAGCTTTCCAGCATTCACAGGAGGTATTTGTGCCTTCCCTCACACTCCTATACCAGCCCTTCAGGAAGCTCCATCAACTTCTGCTGGATTAGAGGTTTCAAACTAACCTGGACAGGAATCATACAGATAATTTATTGATATACTTTGGTAACTTTTTTTCCATATTCAAGACTCACAATTTTTTATTCTTCAGTTCAACTATTTTTTTTTTAATGAATCTTAGCAAAATAATCATACTGTAAGGTTTAAATAGGGAAATATAAACTAGAATGTCAGAATAATCTCGTTGACCACAATTAGGCACATTCTTAGTCAGTCTGAAGCTTCTACAACCCTTCCCCCGACAAGACTGTCAAAATCTGTTGAAGTATAACTTGATGTATTACTTACCTTTGGTCTGTCCCCAAGAAATCCACTGCAGTTTGGGGCCCCACATTTGCAGACTGTTTTTTCATTGCCCAGACAGTCAAGGTTGTAATTAAAAGTCAGCTCCGTCCCTGAGTGTGAAAAGGACAAGGTAACAAATTCTATCAAAATTATTGCAAACAAATACAGCTGTTGCTATCTGCCTGCTGGTTTGGGACTTGCTTGTTGATATATTGTCATAAGATTTTCCCTCTCTTTACTGCTTATAAACATTGACAATGATTAACTAGATGCCCATATATCTTGATGTCCTATGCAATTACATTTTAAAATAAATTCGCTTGACTTCATAAAACTGTGCCTGTGTCTGGCCTTCACACATATATCCATCCATCTATCCAGCTAGATATAGCTGTAGATAGGTAGGTACGTGTGTGAGCATGTGGGTACACAAACCAGAAAACAGATACTTTTAAACAGCCTCCTACATCCACTCCTTAAGCTTATTATGTTCTTGGGAAAGATGCATTTGAGAACTCCAAAACAAAAACTTACTAAGGATACCTGTCCTAGAAGCAAGCAACAAAAAGCAACCATGGGACTCATAATTAAGAAACACTAAAGTAAAAGGCAGATCACAAAGCATCTCCTTTGTGTGCTGAGTTCTCTACAAAAATATTTGCACTGAATCAGTTACACAATGACTGTCCCACCAATAAATGCACAAAAAGTTTAACTTGGAGAATGAAACCAAAGCCAACCCGAGCTGATGTACCTGCAGGAATGTCACACACAGCAAAGAGCCCGACACGAGTGTCTCCATTCACTGTCCACTTTAGAGTTTCACAATTTGGTTGGCAGCTGTGATTCATAAACCGAGAATAGTTTCCTTTGGGGCCAGCATCAATAATACGGTCCTGGAGAACAAACCAGCAACAGGATGAAGGCTTTTTTTCTCTCCCCCCCTCACAAAAAATATAAAAAATCCTCCATAACTAATTTCAATAGTTGCATTCAGAACTGGCATGGTGTTGCTATGCAGAGCACACAAGCCAACTGCTGGTACATGTTGTATTGGAAACTGTAGTGTCCCATGTGGCCTGGAATGTGACACTCCCAAAGCAATACTCGTGCTCTAGCTCACATTTTCCCAGCACCCATCACAGCCACATGGCAGGATAAGTGTTCTTGTGAGCATTATGGTGGGCATGTTAAGGAACCCCCTTCCCCAGGAAGCTTCAAAACTCAGACTCAGTCCTTTACCATTTACTCTGCATTCATGAAGCTGTGAGGCATTTACAAGTACTGTGCTTTATGGCATTTACCAAATCACTGCAATGATTACTTCCAGAGATTACCAGTTTCTCACCAGATTTGTTTCTCCAAATCAGCCTAGTTTAAACAAAAACAAGCTCTTGGTAAGCTAAAAACATCCCATTCCTACAAACAATTGCTCTTAAATTTCTATCTCCACTAAATATATCAGACATTAACAAAATAAAATAAAACTTGAGATTGTCAGAACTGTGTTTCTTTGCAGACCTGCTTGAGAAGGCTTTGCTTATTTATGAAGTAATATTATAGTTTCCTTCTGATTTTTATAATGCACATGTGTGCCTGTCATGCCCATGTGCACACTGCATGGCAGCATGGGCAGCTCAGCCTTGTAATGGCACTGACAGTTTTGGCAAGTTAGACCCACAATGAGCATTTATTAATTACAGTAAGAGCCAAACACGTGTTCAGTTCAGACATTTAACACACTGACGTTGTATGTCAATCTAGTAGAGGAATGAGAAACTTTCAGTGTTCAGAGAAATGTGGTTTCATCATTCTGTGGCAGTAACTCCTGTGCAAGAACTCCTCAGTTACAGGACTGTGTAAAACAGTAGCTGTGGAAATGCAGAGCAGGAGCCTTGGGAAAAAGAATGGTGGTTGGGACTGAAAAACATGCAGGACTGGCAGCCAGCTCTTGTTTTTCTCCTAACTAGCTGTCTGGGGACTGAAGCAATGTAATATAGATAATCTATAATTCCTGCTGTCCGGGTTCTTCACTTTCTCCTCCTCCTGAGGAAGAAAATACTCAGGGGTGTGCACAGAAACACAGGTGCTGAATTATTTTAGTGTGTTAATTAATCTGCTGCAATAATTTGCTGTGAATCAATTTGTGGAGGGCTGGCTGGCTATTAACAGAGAGTGCTTTCAGGAAAGAGTTTCTACAAAACTACAAGCCTAGTTTTGCCCTAAACAATGCAAGGGACAGATGGCTGCAAAAAAGATTAGATGTCCTATATAGGACACAGCCTCACAATTCTATTCCACATTCTCTCAAGTGAGAATTTTATTTTCTGTTGTTGAAATTTTAGTAAAAGGATTGCTAACAGCAATTCCTTCCACTGTACCACTACTATTTCCCCAAACTTCATACTTCATTTTAAGGCTAGGCAGGTAAGTACTTTGTACGTACAGGTACAGGTAAGTACTGTACTTAATTTCAAGCAACAAAGCCCAACTTATAGACCTCAATATGTAATTTATTATGTAACACAGAAGTAAGGAGATGCATCATGTACATATAGAATGGAGAGAGCAGGCACAGAAGATGCAGTGCTGTGAATATATGAAACTGTAGAATGTCAAAGGTAGCAGAATGCCCTGCCAAGGTGGTGAACAGAAGAGATCAAAATAAGGTTGTAAGTAAATAACAGCAAAAACCATCAAATACCCTACCTTATCAATAGTAAGCATATAGAAGTGGGTGATGTCATTTTCATGTGCATATTTGATTCTTGCCATACACTCCTCTTCATCAATCAGCTCTCCCACATACTCATTCACAAACTCCCCCTGAAAGACACCAAGTATCACTAGTGAAGTATATCCCAAACCCACAGGCAGCACTGCAGGCCACCGGTTCTGTGCTGGGTAAGAACAATTCCTACCTTTTTAATGTCCCTCTTGGCAACCAGGCCCCAGCCTTTGCCATCAGTTTTGATGATCTTTGTCTCGGGGTACTGGCGTTTTGTAAAGCACTGGTTCTGGCAGCGCTCTCCTGCTGGACACACTTGTGGGTGGCACTCGTACATCAGCATCCGATTGAGGCACTCGGAATCAAAGCCACAAGGGTTCTCATCCGTGGGCTTGCAGTTGCACTTGGGAATCTCAGATATGTCAGCAGTGTATATCTGCACTTTACCACAAGGTTTATTCACCTGAAAATTGGATTAAAACAGAGCAAATATGACTTTAGAGCAGTTAATTTTATGGCAAGAGTTACACCGTGGTTGCTAATTTGGTTTTGCACCCCTAGATGCTCCAATGAAAATAAAATTTTACCATTTCACGACTGTAAAAGCACAGTTACCATCATTACAGCCTGAGCCTATCTCACTGCTCAGCTCAAGCCTTTGAGTACCCATTCCCTCAAACTTTACCTTAATGTGTTTGTATGGTGGAGGTTTACGTTCACTCTCCTGGGTTTCTTTGGCTTCTCGCTGTAGTTTTATTTCTCGAAATCGAGTTTCAGCTTCTTGTAAAGCTGAAAAAGATTGCAGCATCAACAGAAGTGCCAGAAAGACGATTACTCCCCCTAAACTGACTTGCTCATTCCTATGTGTATTAAAACAAAGCATTGTCTACTTCCTAGTCCCATTATTCACTTTTATTGCAAGCAATGCATATGGAGTGGTAATGCTCTTAACAGATGTATAAATGCTATTATTTCAGTCTCCCAGTCTGAGGGAGCCTGAAAAAGTCTACTCTCTTAGTCTTTTTTTTAGCTTTCCAGAAAGTAAAAATCATCAGGTATAATTTCAGTTAGATGCCAGTCTTTCCCAAGACATTAAAATAATGTTTTCATGCAAAGACAGTAATAGTGACTGCTGCCCAGGACAACACACATTTCTTTAATTTAATATTGTAAAACAAATGTTCAAAACCCAAGGCTATGTGTGAAGAAAGCAAAGCATGCATATCCTAGGATTATTTTTGTTTGTTTTTAGCTTTGTACCATTTTTGAAGACTTTTCCAATTCCTTTGATCCCCTGGTATCTACTCCCTCTGTCTCCCTCCATGTAAGGGAACACCCGTGCTTGGTGCGTCCAATAGTAATCCTTAGAACCAAAGAAAAACACAGGAAATTCTCCGATTTCATGCTTCATTTTCTGGATATTTGGGGGAACGTTTTTCGGATGGCAAACTTCTGCAGGCCACCATCTAGCACAGAAGTACAAATAAAAAAATACAGCATTTTAGTCAAGCTCTTTCTGCAAGAGACAGTTTAACAAAATCACTTGAAACAGCAGTAACTGATTATTATTTCCAAGATCCAAGAGGATGTAAAATCCTTTCCTCTCCTCTCTTAGTAGAGAGAAGACCAGAAAAGGAAAGCCTGACACTCAGATCTGTGGGACTTCACCTGCCTGCAAGGTCAGCACACACACAGGACTCCTGGTGTCTGGGTAGCAAAACCACTGCAGGTCTTTACAAGATCTGCAAATATTGTAATTGTCAAAGATCAAGAGAAGGTTGATGACACCTATTAAGGTTTCAAGGATAACCCCCAGCTACCTCTATCTCACTCAAATCTCATCCAAATGTGAAACACCAACAACCTGAGTGAGTGATATCCCAGCCTGTGAAGGAGTAATTTAGCCAATTACCAGTTATACCAATTTATGGGCAGACACCTCTGCTGTAAAGAGGGGTGGAAAGCTCATTCACTGGAGGCAGAAATCAGAAGACTCAAGCAGATCTGTATGGGTAATGCCTTGGCCAAGAGCAACAGCAAAGCTGCAAGTCTTTGAACATGAAGCTTGCAAGGAGGTGAGGTCCCTAGTTCAGAGATTAGTCAGAAATCAGAGAGCAGCAAGGCTGGCCTACAGGAGCAACCAGTTGTATCATCCTTAGTTAAACATGCCAGTACTGTAAAACAACACAAATTCCTTCATCAGACCTGTAATTTCCCAGTTTAACCCAAATAATATCCTGGAAATGGAGCTTCTTGCCCGCCCTGCAGTCATTGCAGTACCAGCTCCCATCTGGCATTTCAATGTTCAAGCAGTCAGGGTGAAAGGCTGCTGGGCAGGACTCACAGCACAGCAAACTTCCCCCTGCAGAGACACAGAAAAAGGAAAGAGGTTAGAAAACATCAAAATCAAAGGGTAAGTTTTGCATTCCAGACAGGTCAGAAGTAACACACATGTGGTAGGTTCAATTAGAAAATAAATGGTTAAAACATGCTGACCTTCAGCAACAAAGACATCACTTAGCTGGGTAGAGCAGCCAAAGGGTCCTGACTAATCTGAATGCCTGGCAGACTTGGGTTGCTAACACATGCAAAATAACAAGCAAGCTGGTGATAAAAATTCCAGAATAATGCACAAATTATAATTACTTTGCTGTACTTTAATGACTACAATATGTTTAACATAGTTTTAATATATATTAACATTTCTATGTAAGAAAAATTGTAACCACAACAGATTTCTGTTACGATTTTGGGGGTTTTTTTCCCCCCTTGGGGGTCAAAAGGAACAAGGTCATTGGCTTGTTCCACGAATTATCAAGTGGAAAGTTGGCTGCAGCTTAAAAGCTGCTATGCTGCATGTTAATTTGTTAACAAATCAGGTAAAGTTTCACTGCTACAAGTTTAATCAGCATTATGCATTTTGTGGTTCTCAATAAGGAACAGATTTATTGTACAAGATAAAACAAAACACCCTTAATTAGCAGCAAACCCAGCAACAACTAATACTGATTCAATTTGCAGTCTGCTGCTAAACTAAAAGCAACTCTTAAAATATTTATGGTGTAATATTACATATTAGCAATAAAGAAACACAGAAAGCTTTAGTACATTGAACACAGGGGGAAGAACAGAAAAAATACTCATTAGGTGTCTCTTGTAAAGAATTAAATCAGGCATCTGGTTGTTGGAAAAAACCCAAGTAAAAACATTCTTTAATTAAAAAAAAAAAAAAAAAGGATATTTAAAACCCTGAAGCGGCATAAGCCAACTTGACATATAGCAAAACCTAACAAAGCCACATTTCGAATGATTTGCTATGAGCAGATTAGAAAAACACTTAAGCTCAAGAACAAAACGTTTCGATACCGCGTTTCCGAAGGAGCTCCCTCCCAAATCCGTTTACCTTTGGAGCACACAAAGCACCAGCTGACATTGACATGGGCGTGGTGGCTCTTCCCCTTCATGGCAGTGAAGTGGTTGGTGCACACGATGCTGTTGGAGGCGATGACGGCGCATCCCGCGGCGATGCAGACGTCGCCGGCGTGGTACGCGACAGGACAGCGCACGCAGCGCATCATCTTCCCTGCAAGGCACAGCACTCACTCCTTACTCGGGGCCACAACAAAGCACAACACTGCTGAGTTACTTCGGCACAAAACTGACCTGTTATTTTAGCTAAAGTGCTACGACACCTTATACATGCACACACAAAACTTCAGCCGTTACATTTTCAATGCTTGCATATTTTTGCAACAACACTGAATTAATAAAGGTTTTTAGAGAACCCTACACCCAATTTAAAGCACTCTAAGACTTTGATTATGCACATCAGGATAGACCAGCTCTTCCTGAGCCATGGAATTTTGTCTGCAAATGTTGCCCAAAGCTAAAGACCTGCACAGAATCAAAATGTCTGCACGTTCATTGAGCCTTGCTGCAGTGTTTGTACATTCTCAGGTCCTGTCCTCACTGCTTTGCCTCTCTCCTCATCACCTATACATTCTAGATTTCATTTTCTCTTGAGAAGAAAACATGGTTAACTGAAAGCTTGCTAAAAAAAGAGTACAAAGTAAATACTAAAACTGACTAAATCTATTACTACTTTTTAAAAAATTCTGAATCAATTGATAGTCCATTTATACCTAAAAAAACTGTAGCTAGCAACTCTCAAATGGACACATTCCTTACCTTAACATACCATAAATAAAATGAATTCATCAGTCATAAAAACGTAAAATGAAACTACCTTTTGAAATTCGTGGATGTGAGGGGTTACTAACATGACAACTGAGGCAGCTGTGGAGAGGACATCGAAACCCCCTGTTCTCAAACACAGTGAGATGAAATTTTTTCACACAAGCTTCGTGGTAGAATTTTCCACAGTGAGACACAACACAGCGTTTCACATCTGCTTTTCTCTCCTTACACACGAAACAGGTGTGCACACCTAGTGGCAAAATAATAAACAGAATGTAATATCCAAAGAAATGAATTTAAAACACTTCGCTCATGTGTTTATGTTATGCATGAGGGAGCTGCTTTTGTGGTGTGAAGGAAGTTTTTTTCAACAAATCAAATTGCATTACTTGATGCAGCAATCTATTTATTTATCTCTTCAGTATTAAACACTGATCTGCTCAGAAACAAATAAAATAAAGTTACAAAGCAAACCCATTTGCATTTGAAGTGTACACAACACCCAAAGCCTCACCAATCTGATCTTATGTTCTTATTTATAAGTCTCAGTATGCCAGGACAAGTAAGAATTTTTAGTTTTCCAAGTTTTTTAAACCAATGAAATAGGATGATGGCTGGTCTGTGGTCTTCTGAAATTTGAAGCAAGACCACAAACCAAAGACAAGCATCCTCTAATCTTTTTTCTGGACTAGTTGGAACAGCTGTATTTTGAAGCAGCAGCTCCAACAAAGTTCACTGCATGTACTGAAATGAGCTTATGAGCAAGAACGTAAATCTTAGGTAAAGTTTTGAGATTAAGAACTTCCAAGCAGTTATTACAGGATTAAAAGCAAATGAAATTAATAGCAATAAGGTAGTCTTTTAACAGGAAAAGCAAAAGACTAATACAAACACATAAAGGACTGAAAAAAGAACTGAAAATGTTTCACTTTGCTGCTCCTTTTTCTAGGATTTCGTAAGTCTTTGTGACAGACTTTAAACCTCATCTGTAATTGTACTCAGAAAGGAAATAATCTGCAGTTATTAAGGCAATGGAATTCTGATTAAATTAGACAAGTTGCAAGAGAGTTCTCACTGAAAACAGGGTGAACTTTGTAAAACATGGCACACTTATGGTACTCTATGAACTCCTACCCTGTCAGGTCCCAAAAGATAAAAAAGGGATCTCTGAGGATACATACTCTGTCCAGGAGGATGTCCTAGAACAATATACAGGAAAACTATAACTTTTTTTTTTTTAATTAATAGAAAGGGACAAACTTGCCTGATGTACATTCACTACAAATGAATTTTCCTGCTGGTCTTCCAGAGAGCCCAAGGCAGCTTACATGAAAAGCTCGATAGCAAAGTCCTTCACACAGTAGGAGATCACCTGTTTTTTCACACAGCTTTTACAACACAAAGGCATTGAATGTTAAAGAAAAGTTCATATGTGGAAAAAAAAATGTTTTCTTTATTCCTTTTCATATACTGCTCCTAAAAATATCTTTTCCCATTGTTGAAATCAAATTTAACAAGTGAAAGATAACTTTACAACCATCGTCACATGCTCTGGCTTAAGTTGAAATAGGTAACAGAATCATTAAACCACTAGAAATATCCCTCTCAGACCATGGTTCAGGAGTAAATACAACCTGACAGAAAAAAAAGGAATAGAAAAAAAGCTGTAAGAAATATTCCCTAGCACACTGATGCATCTGAGTAGGGTTAAAAAGCATATTTCCTTTCCTTGTCCTTGGCAAAAGGAAATCAGCCCAGTTGGCACGATACTTCTATGCCTGAGTGGTTAGCAGTGAAACATGCACAACTAAAAATGAACCAAACAACAGTGCTGGCAGAATTTAAGGATTACTCAACATTTATAGACAGATACAACCTTATCCCACTACGTACAAAAAATGGAAATGTAACTGCTTGCCCAGTCTCCCAGAAACAAATTAGATCTGTCCATTTGGATTGTGTTATCATTTCATAGCCTAAGAGCCCTTCCAGAACAGTCTGAGGAAAGGCTTTAGCTCTCAGTCACCTCCTGCCCATCACAGCACGGCAGGGCAGTGCTGCCATCCCTGCTGCACACAGAGCACAAACCCCGCTGGGCTGGGCTGGGCTTCCTCCTCTGCACTAACAGAGAAACCAGCAGCTCTTGTGCATTATCTGACCAGTCACCTGGCAACACTCATGTGCTTCTTCTGAGCTACTAATTATGCTTATCTTACAGACATGGAAACTCAAGCAGAAAGGCTAAGTCATTTACTGGAGGTCAAGAAAAAAAATAATTAGGTATTAAGAATCTCATTTACTGCCATGGCAACCTCATCAGCAACAGACATCTCAGACACACACGATAAACCTGTTTCTGGCCTAATATTGTCATTTTCATATTTAAAAAGACGTTTTCTAGGAAAGCTTGGGAAACACAGCCCAGCTAATGTCTCTCACCTGACACACATATTCTTTTTTTGTTCCTGCTCCTCGCTCAGATTTTTTGGATGATATAGACACTTCAGTCTGAGTCTCATCAGCACTTTCATAGGGGGACTCTGAGCGCTCATCTCCTTGGCCATCAGAGATCTGAAGATTAAACACAGGTGTTAAGAGAAAGTAGGCACAGATGGTCAGTTTTGCACAGCATCAGAAGTGATGGAAGCAAACACACTGCAGTTCAGACTAGCAGATTTAGGCACACTCTTCTGGTTTTGTTTCCCCCATCTTCAAAAAAACACCTTGACTGAAACCAGAATATGCATTTGTGGAAGTCTCATCAAAAGGATTATACAACAATCCCCCTCACCAGCAACTTAACAGCAGCCAAAACAGAACACCAAAACTTTGTAATATGGCATTTTATTTATACTCAGTTCTATAATACAGTTAGCAAGAAGTGCCTAGCCATGACACAGGGATATCTTCAAATCCCTCGATTAAAGTCTGAGCATGTGATTTATGAGAGAGCAACAGTCAATTTTTATGAAGAAACTTGGTAAACTCCAAGCTGCATATAAAAGTCTCTGACCCAAATTATTTTCCAAGAAAGTGTGAACAGCATATAGAAGAAAGGAAGAAAAGAACAAGCAGCTCTCAATATGTTTAAGGAACATTACAGTCAACAATAAACTCAAAATACTACAGAAGAGAGCCCTGTTATGGATAAATCTTATATAACAGATCTAGATGTAATAAATACAGGGTGTTTTTAAAACTAGTTGTAATTTACTTTAAAAAAAAACCATCCTAGGTAACATATTTAAAAGAAAATACAGGATAGTTTTCAGTTCAATAGAATTGAAGGAGGTTAGTGGACAACCAAGTCATTTATCTCTTTTCACATTAAACCAGAAGATTCAGAATTTCATGCTGTTGCCCCCCAGATGATACCCAGTGAGTTGTGCCTCTCTAAGTACATTCTCCAGGAGAGGATCACAATTTGGAATTGCAGAAGGAAGCCTTCATTTCTCTTTGAGCTCATTCTAATGGTTATTATTCACACATACCATTAAAAGTACTGCCTCCTGTCCCTTCTGGGATGTCTAACTGCAACTCACAGCTGGTGATGCCTTCTCCAGGCATTTCAGCTATATTACAAGTCCCTTGGAAGCAGACATTTTCCTCCTGTGGAAGCATGCTGCAATTAAGCCCGTTTCAATCCTTTTTGTTCCGCCCTCTAATTTTCTCCCTAGGGGACTTTTCCCAGCATCTAGAGCATTTTAGTGGGGTTTCTCTAAACCTTTTCTGTGCTTTAAAAAGGTTGTTGAAAAATCAAGCATGAGAACTGGAGGCAATAACCCATTACAAGTCTTGTAAGTACCGTATCCAAAGCAAGCCAACATGATACCACTCTTCTCCACTTCTGTTCTGCTGTGCAAGAATCTCCCCAAGTCTCTTCAATACAGCACTGAAAGCCACTCGAAATTGCTGTGCTATTTCAGAGATCATTTTTGCCAATAGCCATTTGCCAGGACACAGACACACCACTTTATATGAAGAATTTACTGTCTGTTTTCAGACACAGAATCTCGTATTTATCTACAGTAAACTACCTTTTTCTAAAAATGGCCCAGCAACATGCTGGAGACAGCTACATGCAACCTCCCTGTCAACCCAATCCATGTAGTGTGCAAATTTATTAGAGATGATTTATTTTGAAATCAGAAAAAAAAAGTAAGACAAAACCAGGCCTAGATTTAGTCTTTATAAAATCCCTTTAGAAACACTGGTTTTGAATGATTAATTCTCACTGCTGCTGCCAGCTAACTTGCATTCCTCCATTTAACATTTGCTTTTCTTGATCATGCCTAAAAATATTTTATAAACTGGATCAGACTGACAGTTGTCAGTTGGTTGGTTGTCCCCCCCGCCCATTACTTGCAAGGGTATAAATTAATTTCCTGTGTGCAAATTCATACCTCCACTTCACCTATGAAAATTTCTACAACTAGAGTGATTTGGAGATTCTGCCCAACCATTTCACAAGTGGCTAAAAGAAACTGCAGAGAAAATCATTGTTTTGTTCAGGCACCAGGAAATCTCTGTCCTGTGGAAGCAGCTGTGAAACAGTGAACTGCAAAGTTCTTGCTGGGAAGGGGCAGATAAAAGAAGGCAGCGTGGGAGCATGGCAAAAACACAAACCCTGTTTCCCTTATGGTTTAAGTAAACTTACACACATGCTCATTTCTGTTTAAACTATTCCCACAGAAACATTAATTAGTGTAAGCGGAGCCCTGCTCTAACATTTTTAGTACCTCATTATATTCTTGTTTGAACTAGCCAGAATTAGTCATGGTTAGAAAAGAAAAAAAGGAAAAATAAGCTAGAATGACTTAGATCCTCATTTCTTTTCCACTTAAAACAGAACAAAACAAAGCAAAGTTGAACAAGTAGTCTTGCTGTAACCTGACACTAGGCTTCCCACCTTTTCCCTCCACCAAAAAACCCTAAACCCAGAGAAAACCCATTTGTGCAGCACCCCTTGACCTAAAGCAGTCTTCCCAGCAGTAAAAGCCATAGAGCCTTTCCTTGAAGAGTGCTCCTCTTCCCCTAGCTCACTGATTTGAAAACAGAACAGAGAAACAGAACATACCCAGTGATAAATATATTCAATTAAGAGAATGAGTCAAAGCAATGTTTTCCAAGATTTCCCTTGGTTTATACATTCTGTTCAAACAAAAGATGCAGACCTCTACATGGAAAGAGAACCCTATTGGCAGAAGGCAAATTTTCAGAATCCCCCTAGATATGGGTGACAAAACCCCAGCCATTTGTGAACCTCAGGCTGACATCAATTCTCCTACAGAATGGAGATTTTACTGCCTCAGAATTAATGCACCAGTCCTTCATTTAAATTAAATGATTACTGAGCCAAAAAAAGGAGCAGTGCTGGCAAGAATCAAATTCGACATCACAAATGCAACCACAAAAGCCAAATTCTATCAGCCCATTTCAAGAGAAAACTTGGCAATTTACATCCACCTATAGATTACTGCCAGGTTTCAAGCACAAATACCAACACAGAGCATGAACAAAATACCCTCAGTTCATCAACTGAATGGCCACCAGGCTGAGAGTATCTTTCAAAATCTCTCCTTTAACAGCTGTCAGGAGTCTCACACACTTTACAAAACAAATGCTCTATTGAGCACCAGTTTTGTGTTACAGACAAGACCGGATACCTGCTCATGGCTGTCTCAACTCCTAGGAGTCCCTACATTCACAGGCAGCTCAGTGATACACTCCTGTGCTGGAGCAGGCTGCAGAATGCACCTCGTCATCCCTGCCACCATGACCAAAGGTTTAACCATCCTCTCCAACAGCCATAATCCATGCACAACTCACACACACTTCACTACCAGACTTCATAGCTTAGGGCCCTAACAAAGGGGAAGGCTAGCAGATTCCCTGTTGTAAGAAAGGGATGCATTTCTTCAGGATAATTTAATTGGAACCTTATTTGTATCTTGGAGAAGGTGAAGCACTGTCTACCAGACATCTTTGAGGAAAGTTCCCTCTATGAAGAGAACTGGAATTCAACACCTCAGCTCTTGAAGTCATCCCAGAATAGCCAATGGAAATATCAGGGAAGTAAAAGAGCATCTGTTCCTTGAGGCCTGTGGAGAAGAGGCTGAGTCAACTCTTCATCCAGTGTTTCTCAGAGACAATGTAGAACCTAAGAGAGGTAGAGCATGAGGTGGTTGAGAAAACTGTATTTGTACCCCCAGTAAGCTGGAACACCTCTAACAGGTTCCAATTCATCTAGGGGGCACAGAGTTTAGCAAGTAAAATATGTCTAGATTGAAACAGTCACTAAGTAAAGATGATTTACAAGAAGATTGCTTGAAATCAGTTCATGCTGACGTGATACAGCCACCTCTGCAATGAAAAATAACAGAAGTGGAAGTTTTTAACAGTTCACATACCAGAGCCCAAAACACAGCCTTCAATACAAATCTGGACAGGTTTTGGGGGACTTGTTACTTTACTTGTTATGTTACAAATATAAATATTTCCCTTGTAATCATACCAGAGCTTGTCTCGTCCTTATTTTTGTAATGTAATCCTCCTAGCACATAAAATTGTCTATAATTAACTCTTCTGAAATTCAGGCCAAGGTTCAAAGTAATCAACATTTAGATTAGTGGCAAAATGTGTTAATTGGCAATTTGTAGCTATTTTATTCTGCTTTACATTTGGAATATTTTCTTGTTTCTCATAGAGGCAAAGGACTGTTTTAAAGAGCGCAAATTTAGGGGAAAAAAAAGCCAAGGCTGTTCACTTCAGATTTTTAGCAGGTGCCAAGTTTCTGCACTGAAATTGTACCTGAACTCTATCATCATCTCCACTTCTCTTTAGCAATTACTGCTGCTGTGACATGAAAGACACCCTTCCTCTGCTGAAGTGAGGATCACTGCGAGCACCATCAGCCTTCACACACTGCACATCAGTCAGGCTTTCCTTCCCACTTCCTTCAGTTGCTGAATGTCAACATTATTTTGTGAGGACTTGCCTGTAGAAGCTTTCACACTTCACTGCCTGAACACTGAGCAAGGGTGGTATTTCAGAAATCAAATGCAGCTCTTTCTACTGGAAACTGTGCACCTGCATACACAAGTGAGAAAAAGGGAGGAAAACAGCTAAAAACCAATTCATGCCCTTCATGTGGAGTGGGCCAGAACTTACTTCAGGGGTTAGTGAGGTTACCACTCACAGAAATGACCAATTTCCCATCAGACTCCCAAGCCAATCCTTCCTTTCCACGTGTCTCAGTCATTATTCAATACTTAAACATGTAAGACTCAAAAGGGAACATGTAAGGACATATTACTGCATTTTTCCAAGTTCCCCATAGCTTTATTATTGAAAAAATACTTCACTCCTGAGTCAAACTGGGACTGGCATCTCTCCAAATTCTTTCTTTAGTATTGTTTTTTTGCCTCTGAAAAGACAGAAATTGTTGCAATAGGTCATTAAACAATTGGGTTTACTCATCTCAAGATATTTTGAGCATACATTTTGTACTACGACTGTATTTTTAGAACAGTTACTCGGTACGGGGATCAGCATAAAAAGACTTCAAATCT